TCACACAGTCTTTAGGGTCGCTGACTGAGGTCGTACAGCTGCAACCAACATTTTTGACTTATTTATGCTCTGGACCAAGCATAACAATAAAGACCAGGAGATAGCAGGTTGACAGAAATATTTATTCCCGAGTCCCGGTCTAATGCAGTGCCCAGCATGTGGAGAAACGTGTGAGATGACCACGGAAGTGGTGGACATTGGCTTGGAATTGAGAAGGCTGTGGAAGGCTGATGGTCAAGTTGGGTTTTCTAGATTAGGGGATGATGTGAACAAGTAACTGGAGGCCTTGCAAGCGCTCGCTTACGTGACGGGAGTCAGGGTGTAAAGGGCGCCTTGGGGTTCTCTGGAGAGATGGAGGTGGGTGCTCCGAAGGAGCTGATCCTTGTCGGTGACAGGAAACTAGTGACATAACTTTTTTTAGACACGTGAGCCCCCAGTTTGGAGCTCCTATATTCAAATAAAAAAGGACAATGATAATAATTTCTTGTAAATCTTGTCCTTTTGTTAGTTTTCTACTTCAGGAAGTTTGTATTCTCCTTGTTATTCAGTTTGCTATAGTGACTTTTTTCTCAATTGCTTCAAACTTTGATGTTTTTAATATGCTTTCATTGAGATTCTGAGATCTATCATACTATTACTTTGATTTTAAACAGGATCTTCTGTTCCTTGCCATTTCAAATTCACTAAAATATCTTTGTTTCATGATTTCATCTGTGCGCTCTTTTTATGAAATTTATGTTCTTTTGAGCTGTTCTGTGACCTCAGATGGTTGTGAGGGGTTTCGTTCCATGTTTTCTTGTTTTGTGACAGTACGTTCACCTGGCCGCGGGCCACTTCTCCGTTCGTTTGTCCCGCACGGCTCTGCACTTGCTCTGATACGATACAGCGACCTTCGCTTCCCCTGCGCCCATCTGACGCCAATGTGCTTTCCCTCCCGCGAGCAGGAGGCTCTGTTTTGTCCTGAAGTCGCGTTACATGCACCTTACGAAAGGTCCTTTCAGCTGGGCGTACCTGGGCTTTCCACCGTCGCTGCGGGGATCTAATCCTGCGTCACGGCTATTTTTCCAGAGCCTTTTCTGTCAGCTCCAGTATCTCTGGAATTTCCCTAACAGCCATTTCAACTAGACCCATCAAGAACAGACACTCAGTTGCCCCTTTGCAGATGCGGATTTTGTGCCTCCATCTGGCCTCGGGGGATGGGCAGGTCAGCTGGGAGGCTGTCCTGCCCTCTGCGATTCTGCAGCTCCCATGGGGGCAGGGAGCACAGGGGACACTGCGGGCAGGCTCAGAACATGGGCCTCTATGTGGGGGTGGGGAGAGTGGCAGTGAGTGAGAATGTGGCATCAGAAGCAGGAGTTTTGGGCGTGTAAGTTATTTAAAAGGATAGTAGTTTTTTTTTAGGACTAATAATACCAGTGAGGAATCCGAACTGAATTTCTGCCAGAATGCTAATGACTCCAGAGACGCACAGAACACTGAGCTTTGAAGAGCTTCTGAGAAACACACAGAGACCAAGCTCTGCTGAGCTGGGGTGGAAATCAGCTGTGCGGTTTCTAGCACGTGCCCCAGACTTCTGAAGTTTCTCACTGTCTGATTTGTCCAGGATCCTAAGGCAGAAAAGTCAGGGTCCAAGGCCCCTGGTTCCCAGCCTGTGAGCTGGAGACATCTCCATGGATCCAAGAGGGCGGTGGTGTAGGACGAGCTGAACACGCCCTCCTGTGAGCAAGTGCAAGTGTGCAGGGCAGCCACTCCCGTGAGACAGCTGAGGGCGCAATGAAGAGCTTCCGACCAACAAACGAGCGGGGCGGGGGAGGCCGGGAGCCCCCTCGTTCACGTCCCCTCCACTTTGACGGGGGAGGGAGCTTTTCGGGTGCTTGGCCCCCCCGCAGCATCACTGCAGTACATCCCCAGCCGCACCACCCGCAGCCTCCTGCCTCTGAACAGGGCGTGAGTGGGAACAGCGCACCTGGACCTCCGACCCGAGAGCCACCCCCCCAGCTTGGCCAGCCAGTGCCCGGGCGCCCACGCAGCTCCAGCCGGCTTCTTCCAAACGCCCGGCACAGAGAGGAACACACCAGCAACCTCGAAGACTAGTGGAAACAAACCGATGAGAACAGCGAAAAGAAGAATCTAACAGACGCGGACAGTTTAAGGGAACGCTCTCTGGGATAACATCAAGTGCTCGAACATTCGTGTTATAGGGATCCCAGAAGGAGAAGAAAAAAAGGAACAGAAACTTTATTTAGAGATATAATGGCTGAAAACTTTCCTCACCTGGGGAAGGAAACAGACACCCAGGTCCAAGAAACACGGAGAGTTCCAAACAAGATGAACCCAAAGAGACCTCTGCACCAAGACATGTCATAACGAAAATGACAAGAGTCAAAGAGAAGGAGAATCCTGAAGGAAGCACGAGGAGAGTTACGCGCAGTGGACACCCGGGAAGGCCGCCAGCTGACTTCTCGAATTTACAGCCAGAAGGGGGTCAGATGGGGGTGGCAGGACACCGTTAAAGCGCTGGAAGAAAGGAACGTACCGAACGTACCACCTGCAGTAACTGGACCCCTCCAGGTGATCGTTCCCAACTGAAGGAGAAAGAGTCCAGAAGCAGCAAAATTAAAGGCGCTCATTACCATGAAACCAGCTTCACACAACACGCTCAAGGGTCCTCTTTAAGCAGAAAAGGAAGGCCATGTAAAACCAAACGGGTAACAAATCCAGTGCATTAGACATTTTAAAAGCTGCTTATCAGGTTCAAATAGACTACCATAGATGCAGAACGACATCCACAGACCTCAAGGTAACCACGCACCGAAACCTGTGAAAAATAGACAAAGAATTAAGAGAAAGGAACCCAAACAAAACACTACAGAAAAACAGCAAACCCCAAAGGAAGACATCAAGAGAAAAAAGGAATGGAGGAAACTGAAAAAACCACCAAAAACCAATGAATGAAATGGTAATAAGTACAATAATTACTTGGAATGTAAATAGGTCAAATGTTTCAATAAAAACACATAGGGTGGCTGAATGGATTTAAAAGCATGACCTGTCATGCTGCTTACCAGACTCACTTCAAATCGAACTTCATATATGGCCTGAAAGTGAAGGGATGGATGAAGATATTCCACGCAAACAAATGAAAAGAAAGCGGGGCAGCAGTACTCAGCCACTCACATCAGACAAAACAGGCTTTAAAACGGGAAATGTCGAAAAGCATTACGTAGTTATAAAGGGCTCCATCTAGACACAGATGTAATAATCGTAAATCTCCACACACCCAATACGAGAGCACCGAAATCCATAAAGCAGTTATTACTGGACATAAAGGGAGAGATCCGCAGGATTACAGTAATAGTGAATTCTGATACTGATACCCCACTCACATCAATGAATAATTCTCGGCCAAAAATTAATGGCTTTAAATGTCACTTTAGATAAACTTAATGGACATTATAGCACATTTCACCCCAAAAACTGCAGGATACACGTTCTTTTCAAGTGCACAGGAAACGTTCTCCAGGACAGATCACATATTAGGCCACAGAACAAGCCTCAGTAAATTTAAGAAGACTGAAATCATATCAAGCATATTTTCTGATGACAGTGGCATGAAACTAGAAAACTACAGGAAGAAAACTGAAAAAGAATCCACAAATACGTGGAGAGTAAACATGGAAGGGATCAATCACGAAATCAAAACCTACCTCGAAACAAATGAAATGAAAACACAACTTTTAAAAAATGTATGTGATGCAGCAACAGCAGTTCTGAGAAGGAAGTTCACAGGTAAGCTATACAGGCCCACCTGGACAAACAAATGTCAAATAAGTAGTCTGACTCTACACCTAAAGGAACTAGAAAAAGCAGAGTTGAAATAAAACTGAAAAAAAAAAAAAACAATTAAAATAACAGCTGCTTCTTTGAAAAAATAAAACCGGCAAACCTTTAGCCAATCTCATCAAAAAAGAGAGTGAGCCCAAATAAGTGAAATCATATATGAAAGAGAAGATACAACCGACACCACAGAAATAAAAAGAATCATTAAAGAGTACTACAGTTATGTGCCAACAAATTCGACAATGTAGAAAAAATGGATAAATTTCTAGAACTACATAACCTTCCACGACTGAACCACGAAGAATTACAAAATCTAAATGGACCGATAACTAGCAATGAAATCTAAGCAGTAATCAAAACATTCGCAACAAATAAAAGACCAAGAGCAAATGCTTTCATAGGTGAAATGTACCAAACATTCCAAGAAGAATTAATACCTATATATCTTAAACAATTTCAAAAAAAACTGATGAGGAAGGAATCCATCCAAACTCATTCTACGAAGCCAGCGTCAATTGCCATGATGCCCAAACCAGACAAAGACATTATAAAAAAGGAAAACTATAGGCCAATATCGTTGATGAACACAGATGCAAAGATTCTCACAAAACATCAGCCAACTGGATTTAACCATACGTTAAAAGGACTACACACCATGACCAAGCGGGATTCGTCCCAGGGATGCAAGGATGATTCAATGTCCATAAATCAATCAGTGTGATATGTCACGCTAAAAAAATAAAGCCTAAACACCATACGATCATCTCACAGAGGCAGAAGCAGCATTTGACAAGTTCAGCATCCTTTTATGATAAAAACTCTCAAGTTTTTGGGTACAAAAGAAACATATCAACGTGATAAAGACTACAGATGACAACCCCACAGCTAATATCATACTCGATGGAGAAAAACTGGAAGCTTTTCTCTAAGATCAGGAACAAGACAAGGATGCCCACTATCGCCACCTGTAGTCAGCCCAGTTCTAGATCCTAGCCACACACACAGGACAAGAAAAAGAAAAAAATGGCATCCAATTGGAAAGAAGTAGAACTCTGGTTATTTGCGGAAATAGAACTCTCATTATTTGCAGATGACTTGATATTGTGTATAGGAAACCCTATAGACGCCCCCCCCACACACACATATACAATTGTTAGAGCTAAAGGATGAATTCAGTAAAGTAGCAGGATAGAGACTCAGTATATAGAAATCCGTTGCATTTCTATACAGCAATAACAAATGACCAGGAGGAAACATTAAGAGAACAATCCCATTTACAGTTGCAACCAAAAGCATAAGATGCCTAGGAATGAACTGCACCAAAGATGTGAAAGACTGGTATGGTACCCCGAAAACAAAAGACGTGAAATAAACTGAAGAAGATACATATAAATGGAAGGCTATACCCTTGCCCACGGGTTGGAAGGATTAACAGTATTAAAATGTCCACACTACCCAAAGCAACGTATAGATGCAATGCAAACCCTACTAAAATGGCAACAGTATTCTTCTCAGAACTAATCCTGAAATTCATATGGAACCACAAAAGACCCCAAATGGCCCTAGCAACCCGAGAAGGAACAAACGGGGGCGTATCGCGCTCCCTCATAGCCAACTACACTACAGGCTGTGGTAATCGAAACATCCCGGTACCGCATACAGACAGACACACAGACCAGCTGATTAACACAGCCCAGCACTCAGTCCTCGCTTATACGGTCAGTTGACCTACGACAAAGGAAGCAGGGATATACAGCGGGAACAGACAGTCTCTTCAATACATGGCGTTGGGAAAACTGGTCGCATGCAAAAAAAATTGAAATTGGACCACTTTCTTACACCGTACACAAAAATAAACTCAAAATGGATTAAAGTTGTGAACGTGAGACCCGAAACCAGCAAACTCTTAGAGGAAAACATAGGCAGCAAACTCTTTGGCATCGCTCTCAGCAGTATTTCTTGGGATGAGTGTCCCCCGGCAAGGGAAACAAAAGAAACAAATAAATGGGACTACATCAAACGAAAAAGGTTTTGTACAGCAAAGGAAACCAACGAAAAGACAAGACCACCTGCTGAATGGGAGAGGATATTTCCCAATGACACATCCGATAAGGGGTTACTATCCAGACTATATAAAGACCTCATACAACTTAACACCAAAACCCCCCAAAGAATCCAAAAAAATGGGCGGAGGACCCGAATAGACATTTCTCCCAAGAGGACAGACAGGTGGCCAACAGAGATATGGAAAGGTGTTCGGCTTCAGATGCAAATCCAAGCCACAATGAGATATCACCTCACAGGTGTCAGAACGGCTGTCATCAATAAGTCAACAAAGAGCAAGTGCTGACGAGGACGTGGAGCATGGGGACCCTCGTGCACTGTCAGTGTGACTGTAGATTGGCGCGGTCACTATGGAAAACACCGAAGGTGCCTCAAAAAATTAAAAATAGAGCTGCCGTATGATCCAGCAGTTCCGCTTCTGGGTGTTTATCCAAAGAAATCCAAAACACTGACTCGAAAAGATCTGCACCCTGGTGTCCACTGCAGCTTTATTTACAGTGGCCAAGACGTGGAAGCGACCTATGTGTCCGCAGACAGATGACTGGATAAAGGCCATGTGGTACACGTATACGAGGGACTACTATTCAGCAATAGCACAGAATGAAATCCTGCCAATTGCAGCAACGTGGATGGACCTAGAGGCCTATGCTAAGTGAATATGTCAGAAAAAGAAGTAATGATTTCACTCTATGTAGGATCTTAAAACACAAAACACATGAATAAACACGGGAACCGAACCACAGACACAGAACGAGCCGATGGTTGCCGGGGGGAGGCAATTGGTGACAGGAGTTAAAAACTTACGTCAGCGTGTTTCCCACAGTTCTGAGGGGGGCAAGACAGGGAGTGTGCTGGGAAAGGAAGGCCAGGTGGGCCCTGGGGACGGTGTCAGTTACTTCCCTGAAGGGACGAGGCAGAAAGAGCCACTACCAGAAACTCTGCAGAGGGCGTGAGCCGCAGCGGGCTGGGAGGATTTATCTGTAGAAAGCGAACCGGAAGGTTTACGTTTGACTGTTATTGTGCAGGAAACAATATTTCTAAGCTGAGTGGAAGCACTGATATTGCGTGTCCTTCCCTTCCAGATGATAATTTATTGTGATGTTAAAGAATTCAAGGTTGCGATAAACGGCGTGCACAGCCTGGAGTACAAACACCGGTTCCTGGAGCTCACCAGTATCGACACGCTGGAAGTCGACGGAGACATCCACTTACTGGAAGTAAGGAGCTGGTAGCTGACGTGAATTGCCTCAAAAACTGAAATACAAAATGGCTTATGTAACACTGGCTTTGTTAAAATGCATCTCAGTATTATCATGTTTATATGTTAAATGAGCTTATAGCAGTTATACTGGGTGTTCCGTCCTAGTAGGTAGTGTGGCTCTGTGAGGCACAGGCGGAAGAAATTTGAAGCAACAGAAGCGTACAGCCATTGCTGAGGCCTTCCTCGCCCCCTGGCCTCGTCTGGAGCCCACTTCCCACTGAACAAGCACTTACGCGGCGCCTGCTCTCACAGCCTCAACGCGCCAAGCACATCCCTTTGCCAGCACCGTGCTGGGGGCCGGGGTGCACGCACGGTGGTGCCCTGGACTGTGCTCCCCGTTCTCTTGAGCTCAGAATCCTGTGTGCTCTGCCCTGTGCACTGTTTCTTCTGCAGGTATCGCATACTCACCAGGGACTTAGAACTGCTCAGCTGTTAAATCACCTAGAAACTAATTCAAAGACAGTACTCTGGCCCCAGTGGTCACACTCAGCGTCATATCTCATAGCTAAGGGGTCGATTTTGACTCCCATCTGGCACTTTCCTTTAGCATAATAAATATCTAGCCCTACTAGCTGTAAGCATTACCAAGTAGTGAACACTATGAAGTCTGAACACAGCACAAAAATTAAGGCAAAAGAATAATCAAGCAAAACAAAAACGAATGTATTGAAATTAACCTGATCTCATTCGCAAGGCCACTGATTTCCGTATCAGTAAATGGTTATTTTAGAACATGTGAATTTAGGTTGAGTCAAAGGTCTGCACGTGCCTCTACAGAAGGTTTAAGGTGGAAGAGGATTTCCATTAGTACAATGTTTATAGGTGACAAAGCATAGCCAAGGTCTGGTTTAATGGCTGCTTCTGAAAGAGGCACGATCGGAAAGTGAAATGCAGCCACTGAGGGCAGGGAGGAGCGTGCGCACCCGTCCTCCGCACGCGAACCAGCACCGCCTCTGCTCTTCCCAGGGATAGTCCATCACGTTAGCGACCGAGATCAAAACATTATTCTACTTTAAGTGATTAAAATCAAACCTGTATCAGCAAGTTAAATTGTTGCGTTCTGTAATTTTTTCTATTCTTTGAAGCGAGTTGGCAGAAATTCTTTGTGGAATTCTTACAGGTCAGATCTTGTTCAAGGAAAATTCAAAGGCTTGGAGTGGGGAGGTAAAAAGCTAAATCAGCCGAATCATTTTATCATATTAAATTGCTGGGCTAGATTCTGCCAGGACTTAGGAGCATTTTCATAACAGGTTTCGGTTAGATACTATTTGTGTCCGTATACGGAAAATGCTATTACTGATCTTGTTTTTAAAAAGTACTCAGCGTAGGAACTTCTAGCACTTGATTCTTTTCCACTTTGTGTTAACTTATTATGCTGAGTTTGCCAAGCTCAAAAAAGACATGGGTGGGAGGGTGTTTGAGAAAGTTGTAGAGGACAAGAAGGCTCTAGAATCCCCAGAGTTATTTTTTTCCCTGCATAAAAGAACATCAGATTGCATGACTGGGGTTTTCCTCTCAGTCTTAAACACATTTTCATTTTCGTGATGTAAATGGGAGACATGACTAAGACAGAAGACTGTTTCCTGAGAAAATATAAAATCTTAAGGTGTTTTTTGACGTGAAGCTATTAGCATTTATCTTATCGAAACGTTTCTTGAAGAGAAACGTGCATTTACCATGTTGCCTGTACGTGCAGGTCAGCCTTCACAGCCCCGCACTCACTCATTAAATTAAATCTATTTGAACGTTCTGTGGGACGGTTCTTAGATGGCATAAATAACTATATAAATAAATGCCTTAAAGGCACCGGTGTTTAATTTGAGCCTTCACTCTCCAGCATCACTGTGACATAGCAGAGATTAGAGAACTTCAAAGCTTTAGTTAAAGTCTGGTACCTCCTTCCTTTCTCACGCAAGCATTTCTCAGTCAACCGCCGGTGGAAAGTGGTTACTGTGCTCCCGGAGGGGCTTCTTCATGCCTTTGGTGTTTCTGGGCCCTTCCTGTTTGTGGGGTCCGTCAGGTGGGTTTTATCAACAGTCTGTTGCCTTCACCTCCCTCTTCTCCCAAAAAAGACTGAAGGATAAAGGAGACAGTCACAGCCCAGAGTAAAAAGTACATTCTAGACCTACTTCCCCCTGTGGGCACACGCAAAAACTTTAGGCTGAAGTGTCATCCACCCGAAATGAAAAGTAAAAATCCAAATGGCTTTACAGTCAAAAGCATTCTTGTTAAATGCTGAATAATTCATTTCTTTGAAGAAAAATTTAATACTCTGAATAAAATCTCTGGCGTGGACCCCACGTGCTTGACATTCCCTTGCAGAGGAGTTAAGGCATTACCGTCTGAGTGAGGTGCCATTAGCTTTGGGCGCTATGAGTAAACATGTCTGTGACGTTACCAGCACCAACGAGGGACTATAACAGACTTAAAAAGACACAGCCATCTGTATAAAACCACCGTCGTTTACTCTGCCGTTCCCTACAGCTGGCAGGAGAGGCCTGTGTGTAAGCATGAACTCGGTGGGAGTTTCGTAAAGTCCAAGTAGATGTTAAGGCACCAAAAGTAACATGGCACCAACACCCAAAAATAAAAATATAAATCTGCACAAACAACAGAGTGTGAAACACCAAAAAAATTAAGGTTTTAGAAGTAGCTCTGGAGCGGCTCTCCCAGGACAGCTTCCAGTTGCTGAATAGTCTTTTGGCACTGACGTTCTACTTCTTCGCATTCATCTAAAAAAAAAATCAAAATTCAAACGAGTCAGTCGTCCTGCCTCGATTATCACTAGCCTAAATCCTCCCGTCCTGCCTTCTCTGGCCGTCATTCAGTCACAAGAAGTGACGGGCACCATGGAAACCTCCAGATCCCTCCTCCTGCCTTGATTCCCTTCCGGTAGCCTTAGACTTGGAAGCCAAGTAACACAGAACCCCCCACAACACAGGACACCGAAGAGAAGCCGACTGCTAGCAGTCCCCACCCCAGGCCGTAGGAAGCAAAGGTGAACGCTCTTGGTTTAGATAAGCGGTGAGTCATGACTATCAAAGTGCTGGTGTCCTCATCGCCGTCACCTCCACGTGCAGTAAGACGTACTGTCATTTCTCGGGCTGCACGGTTCCCGTGTCCACAAGTGAACCCATCTCGACTTCAACCCCAGTTCCAACTGCGACACTTTATCAAGTTACTTAATGCTTTTAAAGCTTCTTGTTTCTTCCTTTATTAAAAAAAGGGGCGAGGGGTGGATGGCATATACCTGTCGCGAGGATGAGATCATCCTTGCCCAGCAGCGGCTAAGTGCTGGTCACTGTCAATAAACAGCGATGCTAGGGTGGCTTCAATGGCCTAGACATTTTGACACAGTAACTCTACATCTGGGGACAAACATTCTCACGCTGAGGTAAATGCAACAGGTGTCATGGCCATTGGGCAGTCGCTTCCTAACAGCCCCCACCCCACTCCAAACAGGAACGCGGCCCCCCGTGCTGCAGGTCACGGGCTGGAGCTGCGGGCTAAGCACAGCGCACCCGGCTGGCGTGATCGCCGGGCGCCTTTCCACAGACTTCTACTGCCAGGAATTACCTTCCATCAATTCAGCTAAGAAAGGAATGGACTCTGGTAGCAAGACAATGTAATTGTCCTTCAGTTTTTCAGCCAGTGCTAACACAGTAATCAGGGCGGCAAATCGAACCTGAAAGGGACAGAAGGGTAAAGAATGATAAGCTAGTGTTGCTATATTACCTTAAAATCTGTCTAATTTGAGACAAGCTCTTGCCTTTTTAAACTAAATATTATTTCACATGAGTTTATTTCACTTTATGTCCATTCAGCTTTTATCTCAGGATACTAGCTGGGAGCTGTTTATGACATGGGTCATCTTATAAATCAAGTGTGTTTCAAACTGTTCCTGTTTGTAGGCCTTTAACAGGAATGTCTTTTTTATAAGAATTTTCCTTTAAAAAAAAAAAAGCAATGGAAGAAAATGCCATACACAGACTCGAGTGTGTCATCAAATGTAACCACACTGGAGCTCACCAGCTCTCCTGGCTGATGGAGACGATGCCAACCTGGCGGCCACCTGCAGAACCCCGACCGAGGTCACCGCCGTAGCTGTGTGAGGGGCCTGGGCCCCGGCTCAGGTCAGCACTGAGTAAAAGAGCACACTGTGTTATGTCCTGATTCTGGAACTTGAAGTGTGGCTGTTTCCCACATGACTTCTCTGTGCGGAGGAATATAAACAGCTGTTTGGTGCTATTAGTGACCCACTTAGACACAAGCCGTGCTGGCCCTCTCTCTCGTTTTGGACAATTTAAAAAATATTTGGATACACCAAATTAAGTTATTTAAAAACGTGTAATTACCTAGATTCAATCAGAATTTTTCTGATTTGTGCAACAAAACATTATAATAAATTTAATGCAATTTGGTAAGAACCTACAATTTAAACTCTGGGGGTACATCCAAATAGCCTGTTACTATCTAAGAAATAAATATTATGAATTTCGACTAATAAATCTCTTAATAAAATTCTGCTTTGGTTTAATTTATCCACTGAGGCTCCTGTACGACGATTAGTTTGAGCAAAGGCGAGTCACTGGTAGCACCGTGACGCTGACGCTCAGGTGTGGGGCTGGGACTCTGACCTCCGCTCATCCTCCCGATAGTGGGTGTCAACCGCCACAGAACCCTAAGGCTAACGTGGCGGATCTCACTCAAAGGAATGCTCTGTGGACAAGCTGAAGGCATTTGTTTTGGGGAACACAATGACATTTAAATGGTGCTTAAGAAACAAAGAATTACTTCATCTTTTCAAGATTAAAAGCACACATTTAGAAAGGGTTTTAGTGCTTGTGTCAAAGGACGCGCTGGGGCGGGAGGAGGATGACCGTCATTTACAAATAACCCGTCAGTAAAAACCGAAAACGTCTTGGGCTCAAACCCCCACTGACCACAGCCCGGCCTCCAGTCCTGGGAGACAGGCACCAACACTCAACCCCACTGGCTTCCCACGGTCCTATGCCCATACCCGCGACCCGGTTGCCCAGGCCGCACGGTGAACACGCGGCAACGCTGCACCTGACCTTGGGGGAGGAGTCTCTCGTCTTCAGCAGAATCTGGTAGTTCAGTGGTTTCCAGAGAGAGTCATCTGCCACGGCCACCGAGAACTGTGCGATGCACGGGGCCAGGTGCCCTGTCACCCGCTCCTGGAACTTCTCTTCTCCGCCAAGCCTGTTTTCTAGCTAGTAAGAGAGAGAGAAGGACTTTGAGCAACAAAGGACTTTCTCATTTCTGTTTGAAAAAACTTGCACTGCGTAGATAACATCCATGACATGTGCAGGCTCAAAAAGCAGGCGCTGTTCTAATCTTCTCTCCAGAGCACATTTACAATGCACCGGCTTTCAGAACGCACGCACAGCCCCCAGCACCGCTCCCTCCGGCAGAGCACCTCGGCGGGCCCACACGAGGGCGGCCCAGCCGGGAACATTCTCAATGGACTGAGTTTTAAACAACTAAAAGTATAACCATCAGACCTTATGTTTTTCATTGAAAAATGCAAAAGTAAAACGGTAAATGCCACTATGAAGTTATATCCATGAAAAATGAGAAATTGATTTTGAAATAATTTTGTAAAAAAGAAATAAAAACTGGGAGAAAAGTAATTCCAGCAAAGTGTCACTTCTGTAGGTACAAAACTGGTAAAAATTCAAGTGACGGCTTCCTTGTCTTTCAACAAAAAAGGTTTTATTTGGTTACCTGATCCACCAGGGGCATCATCAAGGCTTCTGCTCTCTCTTTACTTAAAAAATGTTGAGTGTCAAAAAGGAAGATTTTATATAAACAGTTCAAAATAAACTGTAATAACAAGCAGCACTTTTCAGGGTCATTTTCAGAATCAAAAAATGCTTCATCTGTAAGATGGGGGAGAATAAAATGAAAAAAATGAATTTCACAATTTAATGTTTAAACTCAAATCACTATTAAAAGAACTACAATCAGAAGGTATTTCTACACGATCTGGAAATCAAGCTCAGGATGAAGGCAGAACACGTAGTGGATGGTCTAGTCTGTCAGGTAAGTGGCTCCTTTTAGAGTTAAGAGTCTCAGTGATGACTGTTCCGTTTGGCAAGCTGAATGACCAGTTTCAAGTGGGTTGCTCATTAGCATTAGAGAAACCAATCTTAACTTTAATGTTTTAAAGTTATCTGCAACAGCTTAAGAGTAACACCCATTTACTTTATTCTTTCTTCCAAGTGAGTCAAGTAATTAGTGACCTACTTTCAATATGCTAAAACAGTTCAATGCCTGACAACTGACTACAGAACGAAAAATCACACTCCTTAAATGTATCACACTCGCTGCAACTCGTGTAAGGCGCACAGAGCAAGGCTCCAGCCGAACTGGAGTCAGCTACCAACCTGTTTTGGAGATGTTCACCTGGTTCAAGGTGTCAGCAAAAGGCTTCACTAAGTGGCCAGCGAACAGAGTAAAAAGCCCTTTCAGTTTTTCGGCAATGCAATCTGCCAAGTTGTAAAATGTCAACAGTCTGTCTTTTGGGGCATCTTCTGTCTTAGCCCAATCGAACAACTAAAAAAAAAATAAAGTAATAATTTATTCTATACATCTTGTAACTTACATAAGGACAAAGAGGATGTGGAGGAAGGATGCTTACCTTGAAAAATAGGGGTCTGAATGTGACTTCAGAAAGTTTTACAACCATAGCTACTAGACAGTCAATGATACAATTTTCTGTTTTTCCGACTTCTTCCAGATCATTCTGAAAACACAAGAGCTGATTTATTAGCCAGAGTTCTGACACCTGGCTCTAAATAATTTTGTTAAGTACGACAAGTTGAATGGCTAGTTTTTCTCTGGCCCTTAGGTTTGGATGCGGGGGAGTGGGAAGCAGCTGACCTCAGGGTGCCGTGCTCGGAAGTCCAGGGCCTCCAAGAAGAACGCGGTGAGCTGAGACTGATGGGAGACGAGCTCCTGTTTCCTCATGGCCCCGACGTGCTCCTGCAGGATGCTCATGAATGGGCCCATGTGATGCTAGTGGGAACAGCAAAGAGGTGCCGGCTTTTAATATCCTAGAGTTCATTAAGTGAAACTTTCAAGTTTCAACACCATACGTCCCTTCTCCAAAGTCTAACTCCCAATATAACCTAACCTTCCAGTTCTTCTCGATCTGCTTGTACGTTTCGCTGATGGCCGGTAGCAGGACTCGGGGTGAGAGAGTGGTCGCCAGTGTCTTTTCAAGAGACTTGAGACGCACATTAGCCTGTGAGGCCGACCCCATTTCACTAGTGACTTTCTCCAAATGAATCGACTGTAGGAATATAAAAACAGTGATCGAGGCCATATGGGTACTCAGTGAAAATGTCTACACACTCAGAAAGAACTGAACCCAAATGCCAGCGATGGAGAAAAGCTTGGTGCATGTTGGCTTCACAGAGAATTCCTTTTACAGCCAACCTTGAATGTCTGAAGATAAAAATGGACAGATGTCTCTTTCCCACCTGGGAGTCAGGGAGGTGGGGAAGGACACAGAGCACTCAGATTGGTAAGATTTTCAGAGGCCAGGGATCCAGTGACCACAAGAGGAGTCGGGTTCTTCCTTGCTAACACATCTGGAAAGCTGTTTGTAAATTTCAAGCGCAGGCTGTAGTGCACGTGACCCAGCTAAGTCATCTACATCAAAGCAGTTAAGCTGCCTAAGCTCCTATGTGCAAACGCACAATACAACAGACCAGTACAAGGGGTCACTCTGGGCCACTTTCAGCTGGAAATGCTGCTTGGCCACTGTCTGTGCCAGCCACCACCACCCTGGATGCAGGAGCCCGCCCTCCCAGCGCAAGAGGCGAACAGGACACGCCCGTCCCTACGGGAAGCAGGAAAGGCAGCTCTGCCAGCTCAATTCCGAAGATCTCACGGGGAAAAAAAACAATAAAAACATCCTGCAAAGTAAAATAGCCTCATGATAAAGTGACACCATATCGATGTCATGTCAAGATTAAGCAGGAGGGGCGATGGGAGTGGAAGAGAAAAAGGCACGCACAGAGTGACAAGTACATCTTTTCAGAAATCCAATCTCTGGGCCAAACAGAAACTAAAAACATAAAGAACAAATAAAATTACCTAATTTGTAATTTTTCCTTTTCCCCCACTACCCCAAGTGGTATGTTGTGGTCACAAGGACTCACCTGCAACAGGACACCCTCTAGGTAGGGGCTGATGAAGTGGGGGAGCGTCTCAACCACCTTCTGCAGAGCTGCCACGGCGCTGAGCAGGTAGACGTCACCGGAGCCCATGACACTGGCGTTTTTCATTCTTGTCAGCAATGAAGGCATCAGGCTAGAAATGAAAAACGGTTTGAGAGTAACCTTAGGCTAAAAGAGAAGTGGAGAACGGAGGAGTCGTTATGAAGAAAATCCAACACTGGCACGCACTGCATCACCACGCCCGTCAGGGCCACGAAAACGTCTACACATTTCACGTGCCGAAGCAAGACTCTCCCAGAGCCAAGAGCACTGACACAGCACGATGCCTTTCCACTTAACACCTGCTGTGTGCCAGGCGCTGTGCCAAAGACCTCCCACACACGGCCCCGCGGGACGCGCACGCCGTGGGGACTGTCTCGGTTTCACGGACGTGCCCAAGGCTGCACAGTCAGTCAACGCCAAGGCCACAGTGAGTCAAGAGCAGCCGACTTCTGCGCAGGGCAGCACGAGGCGGCGTCTGCCCAGCTGGATGGGCTGCTACAGGAGCATCGCCTACTGCTTCCTAGTTACAGCTGCTCAAAGGGGAGCGAAAATGGGGATAATAAACATCGTAAAGGTAATTGAGAATGTTGTGTTTTTCAGTTTGAAGAAAAGATCGATTCTTTAACAAATCTAATTCTATGTAACTTCTTAGAAGCGAAAAAAGGCACTGAGATGATTTTCCAGTTTGTACTAGAGACCCCGTGTGACAGTCCCTCACCTAGGCCCCACTCGGCATACCTGGGGAGCTGGGGGATGGCCAGTGCTTCCAAGGCGGAGGCCACCTCGGCCACACACAGTAGGGCGCTCCCCAGCACGTTCCTCTCCTCCTCCTCTTCCGGCGCGATCAGCTTCACCGCAGCGTTCAGCACCGGGGCGAAGGGCTCCGGGTGTTCCGCACCGAAGTTCCTGCACAAGAGCCTCAGGGTGTGCAGCGCGGTCTGTCTGTTCACTGCCTGCTCTGCCCCCTGCTTGTTACGCTGCACAACGGCCAGAAGGACTGGAACCAGCTTTAAGAAACGGTACACCTGAGGGAGACAGCCAAAGTTCCCCGAGTATTAAAGCTGCAAAGAAAAGGCTGGTCTGTTTTCCATTTTCACTGCTTGACACCATCTAAATGGAAATCAGACCGAGAAGACCTATGCCACTCAACTGTACACAAGGAACTGTCTCTCCCACTGATGCACTGAGCACAAAGCCAGCGCATGCAAGAGGACCTATGCCACTCAACTGTACACAAGGAACTGTCCCACTGATGCACTGAGCACAAAGCCAGCGCATGCACTTGTGACCAGTGTCTGATGTTTTATACAACTTATATAAAACACCCTTCTGGTTTGGAATAAGAGTGGATTAGAAATGTCCTAAAGCCAATTAAGGTGACGTAGGGTCCATATCAAGTAACAATTCCATTCAGCTGAGTTTCCATGCTAACAGCTCTTCTCTCTCTCGCTCTCTCTCTCACACGCCCCTCCCCCACAGTATTATATTCACGTAACGTACTGATTTAGATCGTACCAAGGAGAAACCAAGGGGGTGACATGCAGCTCCGACAAGGAGAACAGTAAACGGGCCTTAGTCTTCACTTACGGTTTTCTTCTTCCAGGACGCATTCTGCTGTAGCTTGTTGTTCAAAAGATCCATCGCTTTCCGGCGAACGGACGGCAGTGGGTTACCCAGCAGCCCTCTAATCACAGGAAGGAAGGTTTCTGTGGGCAGCAAGGCATTGACCTGGACAGCAGTTTTACATTTAACGGAAAAGAAATGAAAAAAAGGGAAGATCAACTCGAATTCAGACAGACTTCCGTTCTCTGCACACCCTCTAGGTGCCAGGCGTTTCACACGCACTCTCTTATTTGCTTCTTACACTAGCCTTTCACGTAGACTCACTGATCACACTTATAAACACACGGACAGACAACGAAAAGGACTGGCGCTGAGGGCAGTAACCGGACGCTGCGCAGCGAGCCTCGGGGCGCGGCCAGCGGTGCTGCGAGCGGGCCATGTACTCTGCCTGGCAGGCACTTCTGTTACTCCGCGCGAATTAAGTGGACGTGACGCAGTGTCACATGACTGAATACTTAAAGCCTGGCATTTACTGGGGCATGTGTTCACGTTGTTGATAGGGAAACAATTCTGACAAATTTATTTCTAGTCAAGAGATTCTTTTCCAAGAACAATCTTAACTGCATTATATTTAGAGAAACTATGGCTAAATTTATTCTTAAAGTAACACTTTAGGTTAAATCATTTCACAGTGACATAAAAACAGCAACAAAGCACAGCACGTGGGGAGAAACGAAGCCCTACCTTATCTAACACGTCGTAAGCTTTGCTAAGGAGCGCTCGCCAGAACTTCGCGGTCAGTTTGTCTGCGTTTTTCTCCACAGACTGTGCGACAGCATTGATGTAGCCAAGAACCGCTTCTAGCAACCTGAAACACAGGGTGGGGCTCGCGTGAAAGTCTCGTGCACTATTCTTCCAACTTTTTGATAAGAAGAAATTATTCCCAAATAAAAATTGAAAAAAGAAAAGTAACATACCTCTGTTCGAGGCCTTTTAAAGCCTCAGGACCACCACTTTCAACTACCTAATGTGTAAAGAAGGCATCATTAGGACTGGGAGCCGATGACAAAAAATCACTTAAAGTTCAATGAAACATCTATGACTATTCAAAGTTCCCACAGCAACTGGCTTCTGACACCACAATTAAATCAGGTTCAGATCACCCTCATCATACTGTAAGAACTCTGCTTCCCTCATTTCATTTCATTCCATTCATTTATCACACTCTATAACAGTAAAGTATGACAAAGATTCAGAAAAATACAAGTCAATACTCATTTATCTACTAATTTTATGAAACGTAATCTTTCTATAGCTCATCTCTAAGATGAACTATTACAGATCCGGCGGTGAGCCCCCATGCTCTGTACCCTAAGCCTGTTCGCCCACTAGCCCAAGCCCAGCCCGAATCTGCTGTGACTGTCACCAAGGAGGACGTATCAGTTGGCAATGTGCTGTTTGGTGATACTAGATTTCTGCCATCTGTGTGGCTCATGTTGTTCTGGTTCATCCACTCTAACTGCACACAGTACCCTCTGTGTGTACCGCGACTTACTCATTCACCTGTTGGTAGCCACTTAGTTTGTGTCCATTTTTTTTTTTTTATTCCAATGCTAAAAAAGAGCATTTGTGTCTGTCTCCTTGAGCATCTAGGCAAGTTTCTGCAGAGCATACACCTGAGAAACGAAACTGAGCATCTTCCACTTGGCTGAGTACACGGCCCATCACTGCGTCCAGAAGTGGCTGTCCCCACCGCCTTGCCACTTCTTGCTCCTAACAGCTTAATTTTTGCCAGTATGATGGACGTCACAGTGGCAGCTCTTCAACCCGCATTTTCCTTCTTAAGGAGATATTTTTCACGTATTAATTGGCCATTTGTGATTCCTCTTCAGTGAATTCAAGTTCTTTGCCAGTTGTTATAATGGAAACGGACACTTCTGGATTTACACACAGTAATAATCTCTTAGTCCGTGGCTTTTCATTGTGTTTGTGGTGGCTCTGGGTTGAACCGGCTTTTAAGAAAGTCTCCATTCTCTGGTCACAATGATGTTCCCCTTTTCTTCTCAAAGTTCCAAACATTCCTTCTCACACTGAAGTTTTAGTCCACCTAAAACTGCCCTTTGTGCACAGTGCGACAGCCGTCTTGTTCGCACGAAGCAGACAAATCGTGCCAGTTCTAGTTCTTGGACACGTCTCCTTCTCACTGCTTTGTAATGGCACCTGTCACATGACACGTTTGCCACGTGTGCATGGCTGTACCCAGGCTCGTGAGCACTCACACTGACCTATCTGACTGCTCGAGCCACCACTGTCCTTGGCAAGTTTGCCTGACAGAGAGCAGTGTCTACACGGACTCATCTGCAGACAGTGTCTACGCTGATCCCTATCAAGCCAGCTTGCTAAACTGATTATTAGTTCTGTGAATCTGGTGATTTTTTTTTTTGTCTTACACTGCTTTTGCCAAACAGAAATAACAACAGAGTCTCGTTCTGGACTTTAACAGGCACACCACTGACGTCGCATCAGAGTGTGATGAAAACTATAGGTGTCTGACAAATATCTTTCTCAGGCCAAGGAGTTCCCATCCATCTCGCAACGCTAAAAGGATCATCTTTTTTTTTAAAGTCATGAGTATGTGCTGAATCCACTGGATGATTTCTCTGTAAATATTTCAACGATCACGGTTTCCCCTCTTGATCTGTTCACGCAACACAGCAGACGTGTAACACAGATATTCTACTGCCGAAGCGTTCTGCATCCCTGGTCACGACCATCCTTCCAGCGCGCTGTTCGTTTCTTCCTTTTGTTTGTGTGTCCTTCTCTCCCACTGTTTGAACTGTAACACACTAACAGAAAAGTGCACAAGTCCTCCATGTAGAGCTCACTGTTTCAGGTAAAGAAACAGCACGTCATCCGCGTGTCAGAAGCCCCCCTCCACCTGGCCTGTCACGGCCCTCCTCCACCTTCCCAAACACAATTGCTACCCTCACTTCTAAAACCAGATGTTTTGCTACTTTTGAACTCTGACAACTGGAACCATAGGATGGATCCTTCTGTCTGCCTCTTCCCTTCAATATTATGCTTAAGAGCGGCCGTGGGCCACTGAGGTTCACCATGCCCCTTAATGCCGACACGTCATCACTCTGCTTCTGATGGACACGCGCTATCGCCAGTTCTGGGCTCCCATGAACAATGACATGCTGCACGCTCCCAGACACCCTTCGTTGCACAGCTACACGGCCTGCAGGGTGTCCACACTTGCAGGCAATGGCGGAGTCGTAGGGTTCACGTACAACCTGGGGGCATGCCAGATGCTTCCACGGAGAACTATGCCGTTTTCCCCATTACCTGTAAAGGCCTCACATTTTCGTGAGGTATTTGTCAAGCTCTTTTTATGAGTTTAAAACACAGTTCCTTTAAAAAACACAAAATCACTGTAACAAACACATTTAAAGAACAGATCACCTTTCTGATAAAATGACTGGAAGCCAGGAGCTGTGACATGAAGGACACTGACAGAAACTTAAAGTGCCGTAGCTGCTTGCTGCTGTGCGCGTCTACGTTAAAAACCTGTAGCATTTCTTCTCGTGATTCACTCTTATCGAATGCAGCCTTGGGAACAGTTTCTGAAAAAGAGCAAGAAAACTAGTGACTCGTCTTTGAGCTGAATCTTTAGCACAAACGTGGATATGAGCACAGTGAATGGGACACAATTTTCAGAGTTATCTATTAGTCTATTACACCCGGTTTTCCCTCTTCTAAATTAACGAAAGTAACGACTGTATTTACAAGAAAGTACTCAGCAGCTCTGAGAAGAGCGTGTATAAGACAAAACGAAACAGAACAGGGCGGCTGAGACGGGCCAGTGAAGGCAGGCAGAGGGATTACGAAAGGAGTTTTAAACGGTGGCTCCACACCCAATTTCTGAAGCCTTTTACTTAGTGGCCCACAACAAACTGGGGAAGGAGGGGTCACCTCTAGCCGTCGATGTTTAATTCTAACAGTTTGAAGGTAACCTGAAACTTTGCAGAATCCCATGCTTAACTGCATCTAATACAGAAGGTGCTGGGGGTGCAGTGACTGGGGGTCCGTGATGGGCCACTAAAAACCACTGTCCTAGACAGCCGTAAAATGAAGACTTCTTCCAGAGCATGTCACCACATTCAGCTCTCCAGGCACCTTCCAGTCTTGTCCCTGAGCTGACTCTAGGATGAGGCAAGTCACCGCAGAGTCCTCAGACCCTTTTCCTGAAGGCACCTGTGTTCTGCTCCGAAGGGCACGGAACTAAGAACCCGCAACACATCAACCCCTTCCAGAGCCAACGTCACTGGTGCTGCAATTAGTGGAATTTTCTTCAAGACTCCTATATGTGGCAATTTTTAATATTTAGTTACCACTGCTGTGGTAACTGTTCTTCTTGTAAACGTCTTTCTTTAATGGGAAGGGCCTGCTAACCCACACCTGTCACACTCCCCAGCTAATGGGAAGGTACGATACGGCTAATAAGGGCCTGCTAACCCACACCTGTCACACTCCCCAGCCAACACATCTGGGCGAAGGCACAGAGCTACGAACGCCAATGTGTGAGGAATGGCAAGCAGAAATCCTTTTTCCATAAACATTTGAGAAGATACACAATCATATACCCACATCAAAAATTATGAACTTACTTCAAAAATTCCTTCTAAAGACGTTCTCTGGGTTCTAAGGAGAACCTTCATCGTCTTCTGACTCTCTCGAGCTTTCAGACTAAATCATAATTAACTCTCGACTTACGCTTACCTTCTTTTTCCTCTGGCAGGTTTATTAAATACTGGAGGATATTCATCAAACTCTGTATCTGATGCTGGACACTAAATTCACAACAAACTGAAATCCAAAATTCAGTGTCTGCTTCTAAAATAGCATCCTATATAAAGAAGAGATAGATAGTAAAACTGCACCTATGACATTTAGAGTAAGTACAAGTAAGGGAAATGTCTTAAAATTATTTCCTAGCACAAAAAGTCACTATATATTGTTCCTTATGGTCATCGATATTACCAGAAGAATGAGCTATTGAGCTCCTTATATAAAAAAGCTAATTTGTGAGAACTGAGAGCATGATTCCAGGATAATTTACGTCATGACTTCTGGCAGGACCGCACGTGCTGCTTTACGCAGAGCAGGTCCAGACCCGTCCCCAGACCCCAGTCCTGGCCACCCCCGGTTCCACCCTGTCCAAACAGGGCTCCGCAGAACAACTTCCTGCGTCTTATTGGTGTCACTGAAGTGACACTCCTCCTGCCCCGTGGAATGCCTTCACGAGCACCTTCTGGAGACACCGTTTAATGAGTTTGCAGCCCTACTCTGCTGGGCTTAAAACAGAACCACCCACTGGGCAGCGACCGGCTCTGAGAAAAGTCGAACCGCCCTCAGATGTTTTGTTGTCACTGAAGATATTCAGAGCCACGGGCTCCGAAAGCAATTTTAAAGAAAGCCAAAAACATCTTTCATGGCGACTCTGAGCAAACAGGCGCTGTTAGATAACATATATTAAGCATCGCCAGCCCCACATTTACACTGGGAAATACCCTCAACTCTGTGTGAAACAGCACATTTCTCATCACCCACCCTCGAGTCTGACCTTTTCTCCATAGGCGGTGGCCAGCGCTGTCTTAGTGACATACTGGTCAAAGAGCAACACGAGGAGAACCCAGAGGAACCTCCCCGCGCCCAGGGTGTCAACGAGCTGCACGAGGACGGGCAGGCGCCGGTGCTCCGGGACGTGTGGCAGCGCATCCACGAACACGCCGGTGATCTTCACCACGGTCTCCTCCACGCTCCTGCTGACTTCCGCGGAGTCCCCGCCGTCAGACTGCAGGACAGCAAGCGGGGTCAGTGAGCAGGAGCGAACACCCTCCACAACACCCTTCGCACAGGCCCAAGGTTACCCAAAGAATTTTAGTAATCGAAGAGCGATCAGTCAATATCCCATGAGTGCAGAGCACGTCCCAGGCACTCTGTGACCCTGGGGGAACATGAAGTGAGGGTGTGCGCCCTGCCCCAAGGAGACTCAGCGTCTGTACGAAGCAAGACGCACATGTGAAAAGGGGGCATGAAACAGCAGACGCCAAACGCGAGGCACCGCTGTGCTCGAGAATGGGCACAGTCCAGACGAGCGGAGCAGAGGGGCCAGTGGCCCCCGGCGCTCTCAGAATAAAGTTCGAACCATTTCACTCTGGCACCAGTGCTCGAAACAGCCGCTGAACACACACAAGAATGAATAACGAAAGCGAAGCCCCCGCTTGCGGCTCAGCTCTCGCCACATCGCCCACTCCGCCCTGACACGCGGTGCGCGCTCCCAGCCCGCGCCTTTTCTCGTGCACTATGGACTCTGCCATGTCCCCGAGCCCCGCCCTTCCACCGCGTCGCACTGTTCCTCACGCAACTCCGTGGCCACCTGGCCCACGTGGCCTCCCCCTGAGTCTAGACTCTTAAGCGTTTAGCTTTTCTATCGGCATGTCCACCATCAACGCAGTCAGCTTTGTTTTTATACCTGTGTGTCGTGACTCGACAACCTGTCAGACAGAATGCCGACCTAATGCCAAGATTTAAAGGAAACGGTGCTGAATACAATCATCCCTGGAGGGGTTAATAACGTAAGACCAGCAACGGAGGTGAAGAGAAAACCCAGATGCTCAGCCTCTTTCATCCTCGAGGCCATTCTTGAGTCTCAATGGCCATTCCGTCTCCCTGCTCTCCGAGCGCTCAGCTCTTAACACCCAGCAAACGCTGGCTGAGCTGCGCGTCAACGGCTTTGCCATCACAGCACTAACACGCCCCACGTCCTCAACTGACACCGGGAGTTCCTGAGCCCATGCCACATCCCGAATACACAGTGAGCGCAACCTCGCTCTGTCAGAGTAACGTCAAGGGACTGTCACGGTCAACACCCCTGCGGAACGCAAGTTTATTCACATTCTTGGAAAAGACGTTTCCAAGATTCCTTCTTAGCTTCACCATCTAAACTTTAAGAGGCACAAATACTTGAGCATCTCAGAAAGGCATAAGGCATCTACCGTCATTCACTTACTACTACTACGTGAATGTTAAAATGTGTAAAACTTTAAATGTTAAAATAATACGAATGCTGGTAGAAAAACAGCTTACCTGAATAAGTGCTGGAATAACCATTTTCACTGTCTTGTTGATAACTTGAAAACTGTAAGTATCATCTAGACGCATGACGCTGGCTCCCATAAATGTAAAAATAGACATGATATTGTGCAGAACTTTGTCCTGAAAGAAAACACACCTTTCAACGTTTTCTATTTTAAACAGATCAAATAGCTGTGATTCATTATAACTCAGCAATAAGAGAAATAACCTAACTTAAAAATGGGCAAAGGATTTGCAAAGACATTTCCCCAAAGATACATAGGTGGCTAGTAAGCACATGAAAAGATGCTCAACATCATCAGGAAATGCAAAATCCACAAGACACCACTTCACACCACTGTGACAGCTGTAATAAAAAAGACAATAACAAGTAGCAGCGAGGGCGTGGGAAAACTAGGACTCTCATACGTTACTGGTGGGTGCAAAATGGTGCAGCTGCTTTGGAAGTCTGGTCGTTTCTCAGAAAGTTAAAGTTAGCATGTGGCCCAGCCCTTCCACTCCGGGGTATGTTCGTTCACACAAAACCATGCACACAAATGTCCACAGCAGCACGATTTTATCATCGCAGCCCAGAAGTGGAAACCACCGATGAACAGATAAACGACATGGAGTCTCTCTGCACAATGAAGTATTACTCAGCCACGGAAAGGAATGCTGATTCACACTTCAACACAGACGACGCTTAAAAACATTGCTAAGTGAAACAAGTCAGACAAAAAAATGGTCATATATCATGCGATTCCATATATAGGAAATGTCCAGAATATGTAAATCCACAGACAGAAAACAGACTAGGGGATGCCGGGAGCGGGGGCGGGGGCGGGGTGGTGGCAGATGGAAAGGGGAGTGACTGCTGACGAGTGGTGAATAAAAATGTTCTGAAGGAGAAAATCATGATGGTTACACGACTTTGTGAATATAGTAAAACAACTGAATTGTACACCTAAATGGATGAATTTTATGGCACATAAACTATTTCAATAAAAACAAAGAAAAAACATCAATGATTCTTAACTGTTTCTGGATTACCAACCCCTTTGAGAGCTACTGACTCTCTTCCAAGAAAAAAATATCCACACATAAAAACTTGCACATGATTTTCATAGATTAAGAGACCCCATCTCACCCATGGAGGACCGCCGGTTAAGGACCTCGGTCGGTGTAAATCTCCAACATGAAAATAGTTTCTATGTCCCCAAAAAGCTTCAAGTGATGTATTCTATGAGGGACATGACTTCTTTAACTAAGGTGGTTTTATAATCCAATTAATATTCCTAAATCGTTGGTTGAAAGCTGTTTGAGGATGGATGGAACAGTCACCTAATTCTTCCAATCATGGGACAGCTACTCCTGCCAGGCATCATGCTGAGAGCCACCACCACCCAGCGAAGGCCGCTCCTATTCCCACTTTACAAAACGAGGAAACAAAACCTAGATCGACCAGCTCATACTGTCTCGGCGATGAGGCGGGGCTGAGGGTCACCAGCACTGTAAGACCCAAGTCCACTGACGCAAACTAGTGAGCACCCGTGCACGTCTGTGGGACACAGAACATATCTGGACCATCTGCTGAAGTCTCAGGTCATTGATACGTACAGGAAATATGCTGGCCACGGTCCCCAGGAGTAAAAGGGCGTGGTGATGGGTCTGCGGCATCTCTGAGACACGGATGCACTGCACAATCAACTCCACGTTGAACTTCTCCTCATCTAGAACATCTGTGGTGGTAAGAAGTAACCCGTCTGAGTGGCAGGCACAGTCCTATGCGAAGCAGACTCTCCCGCCCGCTCCCCCCAGCAAAGCACAGGCGTACCTTTCGGTATTCTGCCACCGTCCGGAGAGAGTTTTTGGCAGATGTTGAGCAAACAACTCAGAATTAATTGTTTGGTATACTCCATGTTTCCCTGCTCCGGTGGCGAAGGTTCTAAACACCTTCAGGACCCAGAAGAGAGATGATGGAGAATGAAAAAGTTGTACAGTTTCAGTGATGTGTCAATGACCACGGTCAGAACACACAGTAAATAAGGAATGACTGTAAACAAGATGGAAGAGTATAACTGGTTTACATCGCGTTACCTCTCTACTGCACTTTCCATCAACCTGTTGGAAATCTTAGAATTACTTTGCTCTTCAGATGAAAGCACACGTCCACAATTCAACAGCATTTACTCCAACTAAAAAGTAGAGTGGGAGTCCCGCTATATCTTTAAATAAAAATAATGCTGCCCCAGGGATATGCTACTGAAAGTCAGGAAAGTAGGCTGTGAGAGGTCATTTCTACATAATACAGGGCACTGGCAACAGGGACCTAAAACCATTTTTTCAATCCTTCAATGGCAGCACTACACAGCAGACAGCACAGACCAGTGAAGCAGGAGATGTCGCAGAGAGAATGTTAAATGGAGTAAGATGACGAAGAATCAGAATCCCCTTCTCCTCGCGATCCAAGGCAGTGTCGGTACCTTGACAGCAGGTTGAAAAGAGTCGGTATCAATATCTGAGGGTTTTTGAGTTTCTTTTTGTGCTGTAGTAATTCTAGGATGAGGGTTACTCTTGGCCAGTAAGAACCTCCAACTTCCTGAACAGATTCTGGATCTTGTGATTTTCTGAAAAACAGATAAGGCAAATATTGGAAAAGCAAATACTATCAGTGCTAAGTAAAAATATACCTATTATGCCAAATGGATGGGTATCAAAAAATCATGAATTTTTTTTTTTAGCATTCAAGACCTGGGAACAGCAGCACGTTCTCCCTGAATTCATGGCACTTACTTCTGCTGCATCTTCTGCCTTCTTGTTTGCTGAATTGTGCCCAGGGACTTAGTTTTATCTGGTGGCTCCAGTTCTATTCTGACTTGTTCAGCATTAACAGAAATCTGAAATATGAAAGAACAACAGCTGATGATGTAACTCACAGGGTAAAATTAGAGCAGTGAGTGCTGACTGAAAGAGATACAATGAAACATCTCTGCCCACTTCCACATCTCCCTACGACTCCAGAGTCCAGGCCAATCCCCAAAGGCAACCGCCACTGACAAGTACTTCTGGAAATTTTCCATATACGGACAGCTGTACAAAGGTTTAAAACAACAAAGAAATAGGAGTACATGATACATGCTACTCTGTACCTTAATCTGTTTCACTTATCTTAGAAATCTAAGTACATATGTTAAAATGCTGAGAACAGCCGAATCTGGGCACTAGGACTTCACCATACTGTTAGCTACTTTTGTGACAAAACGAAGCACAAAATAACTAGGTGGTTATTCTGATGTACGGCTGGGTTTCAGTGTTCAGTGTACATAAAACCACTGAGCAAGTTCCCAACTGCATTGTGTACGTCCTTAGACGACTGCTTAGGATCAGCAGAATAACCCATCACTCAGTTGGAAATACGAGGCCGCCACGCACTCCTGCTGCTTGCACAAAGCAGGCAGACCCCCTACCATATGTCAGGTCCAAACTAATACACATCCTGCCTTGTTAAAGCCACAGATACTTCAAACACTGAGAATAATGGCGAAGACTTATAATTCTGATTTGGTACTTCTCTCTGACCTACTTTTCCACAATTCCTGTTAATGGTGACATCTGACTTTCTAAAAGCACTGTAAAATGGAAGATGCTTAAACACGGTGTTACTTGGAAGAGAACAAATGTTAATAAACAAATTACAGGATGTTTGCAACTTACCCCTTTAAAAACACTGCTAATAGTCTGAGTACAATGTGAATTTTTACAGTTCACCAATAAATCAAACAAAATGTGCAAAAGCTTCTGCTGAACTTTTCCATCCGATATAGCTGCAAAAAATGGCTTTGTAATCTAGAGGAGATAGAAAAAAGGCAATTGAGCTCAATGGGCAAACGTGAATTCCAAAAATGTTTATGTCATTCTCTTACGATGTAACATTATTTCCAATTTTGTCAGTTAAAATGCAATTTTTTAAATGACCCATGTACATCAGTTTTGCAAAATGGGTCAAATATGTCATATTCCTTTAAAACACATCCAGTCCATTTCATCTTCTCCAAGCAAACGTTACACATTTTTAAAAGCCTGAATGTGCTTTAGTTTCTGAAAGAAGTCACTGACCTTTTCGAGGGCTGTAATCTGAACAGTTGAAAAAAAGCATTCCTGGGTAAAGTTCCTTTGCTGTGTGCATGGCTTTTATAAATATATCTAGACTCTTTGGGTCCTTATGTAGAAGGGAAGCTGAATATTCATTGTATTTTCCCAGAGCGAGATGCAAAACAGCAGCCTCATCTGGAAGGACAGCTGTGGGCTCCTGCTGGGTCTTTTCTAACAGCTGTTCCACCATAGGCAAGAGCTGAGAAAGCACCATCTGAAAATTAGGAAATTAGTAAATTGTTATTATACTGATACATGTTTTTGCTTGCTTTATAAAGACCTCCAGAGATATGTTGGAAGACTGGGAGCTTAGCCTAGAGAAAAAAAATAAAACCAACAATGACGAACTCTTGGACACAGGATGGCTATTTACCCAAGTAAGCACTCAGGCAGTCCGTAATGGCCAAAAGCTCTAAACCCATCGGAGGTGAGTGGAGAAACCCGTGAGTGTCCCAACACTTTTCAAAAACAGGAAATACACACTAACCTGAAGTTTTAGACTATAAAAATAAAATTTTAGCTTTCTCTAAAACACCACACGCTTCCCCAAATAATGTTTCCGACTTGGTAAAATATTAATTCAAATTAGCATGTGAAGTCTTTAATAACTAGGTCCCAGCAAATTACGGCTGGCACGCCAGACCCTGAGGGCCGTCTGTTTTGGAAATCCTGTTCACTGACACACGGCCACCTGGTCTGTTTCTGTGCCATCCTCCGCTGCCATCGTGATGCAAAGGCAGAGCTGAGCACTCCAACAGAGAATGCCTGGCCTGCTGAGTTTAAAATATTTACTATTTGGCCTTTTACTGAACAAGATTGTCAATTCCTGGTTTAAACTACACCAGGAGCAACACAGAGCTGATAAATGCCATCTGTTTGCTCCCACCAGGAAGATACAATCAAATGGTTTCCACCCAGTTCTACCCATTTTAGTTCCCCAAGTTGCAATCGGTCGAGACAGGTGGTGCACAGGCTGAGGGACCGGCTCTTCTGTGATACAAGCTTCCTTGACAACATGATGAAAGCTATGCATGTCCCCCCAGAAAAGGATACAACCATGTACATTTATTTTCCCCGCCTTAACTTCCCCCCACCCACTTCCACTCCTGACCTATGGATGTTGCCGTTTCCCTTTTTAAGAACTGGATCTCTGAAGGCGGGGCGTCTCCTCCCACCTGCTCGAGATGCACCCCTGGGGGGCCAGGGGGTATGATCCGTGGCTCCACCTGGGGCACGAACCCAGGACCTTCTGCGTGTAAACCAGATGTGCTAACCGCTACACTATGGAGCCACTCCCGCAACCACGTACATTTAAAGAGTGAGCAAATGATCCCGAAATGTTCAGACTCCATGTCTGAATACATTACTTTGAGGAGCATTTTCACCCGAAGAACAGACGCGAAACAAGTTTTTCTGCAGTGCACCTTCAGTGGGTTTCCCATGTGTTTTAAACTCATTTAAAATCAAAACAGTGATTACACAGGGATACACACAACTTTAAAACAGAACAAACTCGCCAATATTTGCTTTTTGTATCCTGTATCTTCTCCACCACAATGCTCCCCCCATCGAATTAAGAATATTTCTGAACGTCACCCTACAAATGTGTCCCGCACACAGGAGCATTTACGACCCTTGCAACAGCACAGCGGATGCACACACCTCACTGCTGACTTCCTGAAGCACTTTCATGAGATCTTTTGCAACATAAGATGGGCAACTATATACACAACAAAGCAGGTTTTTCAACGTTTCAGACAACTTCTGATGAGATTTCAGTTTCTTTTCTCTCTGTAGTTCTTCAAATAAAGCAGCCAAATCCTAGGATACCCAAAAAAAAAAAAAAAAAAATGGGTAAAAGGATTAAAGGACTATAAAGGTTAAACGTACTAATGACAGAGGATTCTTTTCCAAATGATGTGAGATAACTTACAATTTTTCATTTCCCCTTGAAACCTTAATAGGAAAGAACATCAGTACCCTCCGTTAGCTCACTCTCAAAAGCCAGACACTGGTCTTCTGGCCGAGGGAAGGATGGCAGAATCGGAACATGGTCTCACTGTCTTTTACAAATGGGGGAAGAAAAGTGTGCAGATATTGACATATCTGTTTCTAAATTCGGTGACTGAAGTCGATCAAAATCCCTCCAAATAAAGCTCAAGAAAGGAAGACAATGCTTGTGTTATATGCGGGGACGCGCACATGCCATCTCTGTGCTGACGAGTTACCTGAACGACGTAGGTGGCATCTGAGGTGATCTCCTCTGCTTTAGGAACCACGTGATCTATTACCAGTTGAAACTGGGACGCCACCCCGCTGAAGGCCTGCAAACAATGAATGGCCGCCCTTCGTATTTCTTTTACGGGGCTCCTCAGATTAAGGAGTAGCGATGCCACCACTACAAGCGAAAGGAAAAAAAATTAAATAACGATTTAAAAAATAAAAACAGTGCAAAACGTAAACAGTACCGAAGAGTACATAATGAAAAGTTTTCCTCTGAACTCAAACTCCCACCCCAAAGACCATTCACTGTTTTATTATTCTAGAAAAATGTTAGACGTGAACTAGTATATTCTTTTGAAAATACACAAATGAGAACATAGTATGTATATTATATATTATGTATATATATACACACCCCATGTTCTGCAGGAATTGTTACAGCATCTCAATGTATTCTGAAAGTGTTTTTAACATGACTTTAAATTAAATCATTCTTTTTAAATTGTACAGGTCTCCACTGTATTCTCCCTATTTTTGAAACTAGTACTTTACTAATTTAGGTTGTTTTTAGTCCTTTGGGCTTTAAAACTGCTGCAACAAACACCCTTGCACAAGTATGCAGAGGAAATTACCCATTTGTGTGTCACGCTTTGCAAAGATTTTGTCCTGAATCAGAGTTTGTTGTGACTTTACTTTTCAATGTAGAAATTTTAGTCAAATTCTTCTCCTAGTTTTGTGTGTTGCTGAGGAAGGCCCTTCCCACTGAGTTTTAAAAATATCTACCTCTATACTTAGAGAGAGATCATATGTACTCCATGTTTTTTCCTAACATTAGAGCTAAGTTTTTTATGTGAAATCTTTAGTTCACGTGAAACTTTTGCCTATGGAATGAGGCTGAAGTCAAACTTTAAAAATGTTTCTAGACATCCTATCTAATAATCCACCTAAGAACCCTGATGTGGAGCATCAGCTTTATCACTCACGTTCCATCGGTATCTGAAGCATCTACTTCTGCCAACGAGAACTCTAGAACCGTGTTCGTGACAGTGATGAATTTAAAGAGGAATGCTCTCGCATTCTAATTTTCCTTAGATTTAAAACAGTATATTTTACCAAAATTGAAAAAAATACTTCACTTTCGCTTTTAAACATGCAAATAAATTAACTATATTGATCAGGCATAACAAACCAAAGACAGCCTGCACCTTACAAATGACGTTAAATGCCTATTCATTTGTTACACGTTAAGACTGAGCCAGAATACGTATCCACACGAAAAGTAATGAATGAAGCTTAGAGTCCCAAGCCACTCACAAAACTTAATTTGTATAATATTACAATACCTTTTTCTTTTGAACAGCATAACGTATTTTGTAAAATAAATTAAGAGAAACACTTCCTAGATGCCTCATGGACAAGATATGGCTAGAAGCTCCCTGCGGGTCAGAGCGAGCACTGAGGACAAGTGCACTGACTCAGGAGCCTGGTGGAGGCCTCTGGGACTCCAGAGTACAGTCTTTGAGCCCCCAAGTAGAACAAGGTGCTTCTCCCATTTTCAGTGGAGTCCTGTGACATGTCCAGGCAGCATAAATGCAGAGGTACTTTAAGAAGGGGGAAGGTGACAGAGGACACGGCAGAGGGGGTAAGCAGGAGCCTGTCCTGCAGCAAAACCAGGAGAAAAGTCAAGTCCGTTGGTCTTGCTATTTTTAGACAGAGACATACTCCTCAGGGGTCACTGCCCTTGATGACAAAGGATAGTAAATATTTCATACCTATCAAAATAGCTATGACCTCCAAATAAAATATACAGACTTTTATGAAAACTCAGAAATTGAACAGAAGATATCCATTTAAATAAATTACGCTATCTCCATGAGACAGAATACCCTGCAGACATTTTATTTTATTATTTTATTATTTTTAGGCGAGGCAACCCTTGGTTGACCTCACAGACTGCAAGGACCTTGTCAGCTTACAGTCCCTTATATTTTTTTTTTTTTACGCCTACAGCACCTGGTCTTCCTAGGTAGCCTCCCATCCAAGTACTAACCAGCCCCAACTCTGTTCAGTTTCCAAGCTCTGCAGACATTTTAAAGAAGATAAATGTCTATGTTTATTAGTACAGGACAATAACTATAACATCAATTGAAAAATTAAGGTTAAAAAACAGGAAATTCTCACCAAAAGAAACAACAAAAACCAACTGATAAAACCTTACAAGTAAATCCAACTATAACAGGGATTGTAGAAGGAGAGAAATAATTACATTGTGGGATTTTATCTTAGAAGTAAAATTTGAATCTATATATTTACTTGACCTTATATTTAATAAGAATTTGGTTACAACGGTAATCGTGTGCTCTTTCATGGAGCTAATAAAAAGACAAACATCAAAAACTGTTTTGAGAAGTTTATGATCATTCACTTTGCTTTCACAGAACATTTATAAAGAGCAATTTTGAATAAAAAAAATAATAATAATCAAGAACACCTTCAAGTTTCCCCAGGGCACTCGTTTCTGACATTGAAATCACACCCATTGCCCTAATCGACTTCCTATCTTCAGTCACTTTTGCCAGGCGTGCTTTTCAACATCATATTTAAACTCGTGAAATTCTGTATCTTTTGCAAAAGCTGCAATTTCAATACCAAAAATACAAATTTTATTTTTGGGTGCTGAATGTGACTTTAACTGATACAAGAGAGAAATCAGGAGGGCTGAGTGGACACCCAGTCACAAGCAGCCCGCTGAACACCGAACTGTGGTGACGCTTTGCCTTCCCTAGAAACCCCGTGGCTGCCGAGGCTCAGAAAATGAGGCTGGATATTAAGAACCCATGATTCACCACCTGCCATTCCTATCTTCCTTTTGGTGAGATTTTGCAATTCACATTTATAACTTAAAAGCAATACTTAGAAATAACCAAAAATAGTTGAGAGAGAGAGGAGCCCGAGCGCGTGCACGCACACACGCGTGTGTGCTGTTTAAATAAAATAATAAAAAAAAATTCTCAAAACCATGGCCCACACAAACTACCTACAGACCATGACAACGCCACAAAGCCACCTGCAGTACCTGGAGAAGACACGGAGGCCAGGCGGTGTCGACACTGTGGCTTCTGGGAGGAGAGCACAGCGCAGCCCGCATAGAGAGCTTGGGTCTGCAGCACTGTCCCCACGCTGCACCTCGGTGGGTGTGAACGGCTAGAACCGTAGGTCCACAAAACAGAAAAGAACTTGAATAACTGGAAAACATCTTCTAGATGTACCTAAATTGAAACAACACAGAAACAAACAAGACAGTGAACAGAAGTTGGTTCCAAATCCTCTTCACTAGTATACAATTATAAAAGACGAATACTTTACTGCAACATTTCATTTTGTCTAATCACTTAAAATTCTTCTATACTTGACATTTTAACCAGTTGGGAAGTACGTAAATGAAAGAATTCAGAGGACTGATGTGCTGTGATATTCAGAGGATTCGCTGTAACTGCACTTGAACATGTTTAATTAAAAAAAAAAAAAAAATACTAAGCAGAAAACAAGAGTGATGTTGAATTCCTTAACCCATTTCCCGTTTGCCCCAAAAACACTCGCCGGCAGCAGCTGCGCCTGCAGCATCTACCCCAAGATAATCGCGGATCACAGTCCTAACCTCACCCCCAAAGTTTGCCATGAAACATCTCACCTTTATTACTCTTTTCACGTCGCTCTAGTCTACCGATAGTCTTTGAAAACAAATGATATCATTCTATTTACAGCATTCTATTTTTAGTAGTGGTGTTACTGTTTATAAAATATAGTAATTCTCCACTGCTAAAAACGTCAAATTCTAGAAAACGTACCATTCCTACACAAGACGTTAAATGAACACTGGCAGCGAGCTGCACTTTTTTCTCTGAATGGGAAATGAGTTAACTAAGTGACTCTGCATATGCTGCATCACCTCTCTGAACATCAGTTTCTCACCGGTGACGGCATTAAGCCACTAAACAAAATGGCCTGTCATGACTAGTAAACAGAGGAATAGTGAACACGTCAACAGGTGTGCTTGGCCCAGCCTACTGACCAAGGTCACAACTACAGCGCCGCCTGACAGGGCCCGTGTTTTTCATCACATACTCATCATTGTTTAAAAGTCTACTTCCGTCTTCATTCAAAACCGTCATAACTAAAAGCACCTGCAACATCTTAAAGGG